TATATATATATATATATATATATATCTGTTTATGCCACTCTAAGCCCAAAGAATTGTGGAAATGAAGAAAAAAAAACAAATTTCTGGTGCTCTCCATCACAATTTATACACCGACCGAGACAGAAGCACACGCACGCACACATGTATGCGACACCGCGTGATCGTAGTGCAGCGAGGTCCGCACTGCTAACTTGTTCCATACTCTAAATTCGAGCCACCAGTCTGTACATCCTCCATCTCGTGGCTTTCAATAGGCAAGACTACAACGCATATTTCCGCTCGGTGAAGTGTGTGTGGCGGCCAAAGCGCGAGCGTTCCTCGACCGGATCCACCGGCGTCTTGCCGTGGACTGTCATTGTGCACCCCGTCACCGGGTTCCCCGTGTAGAGAGTAATGGGCTCGTCTGAGAGGTAGTCGGTGCGCAGCTCGTTGATGACTGGCAGCTCCTCCTCGTGGCAGTGCGACTTATGGTAAGTCGACAGGTACGTACCGCCACCCTCCAGCGCCACATGGAGGCGACGTTCATGCTGTTCTGCGTCTTTCGCCTCCTTCTCGGCGCGCGCCGCTTCGAGTGCGACTTCGAGCATAACACGGCTGCGCGCGCCCAACTCAGGGCGGCGCAAGCGCTTCACATCGCCGTTCTCCTCGCAGAAGTCGTGGCGATGCGTCGTCTGCAAGAAGCGCGTGTGTGGGTTTCGAGCGTCGGCAGTGATGTACGGCGTCGACTCATACCCGCCGGTGTAACGGCCGTTGCGCCCCTCGCGGATGACGTCGAAACTCGCGCGCAGCACCGCCGTCGAAGCGAATTCGTCGGCCTGCACGGATCCCGGCGGCAGCGGCAGCGGCTGCTGCACGAGGAGGTCGTCCTCGAGTGCCTTCTCCTCCTGCCAGTTGCCGCACAGCACCTTGCGTGAGCCGCACGCGCCATCGTCGTGGCGCGCCTTGTTGTAGCGCTTCTCCTCAATCCACGTCCCGCCAGGGCTGCAAGTGTCGATCGGCACGAAGGGCCGCCGACTGCGCATCGCCAACTCCATTTCACCTCTCTCTCTCTCTCTCTCTCTCTATCTCCCTCACTTTCGTGTGTACTGTGAGTCCTCGCGAACCCCTCCCTTTTTCCCTCTTCCCCTAGCAGCAGCGGCACTGAGGCGAAGCAGAAGAGCACGTAGCGACACAAGAGTGATGTGCAGGCGGGGGGTGTGCCGCTAAGCCCCACGCCAAGCGAAACCCACGCACACGCAGACAAGGAAGAAAAAAAAAACACATTTTTTTTCTTTTTCCACTCTCAGCGTCTCATAAGCTCCTTATTTGGGGGCCAAAAAAGAGGAAGGAGAGATTAATCTTCTTTTTTTTTGTTTTCATTTTCTTTCTCGTTTGTGGTTGGTTAGTAATACTTTGCACTCATCGTTCGGCTACCCGCTTGTGCTTTCACTTGCTTTCCCTTTTCTTCTACCTTTCCATTCTGACAAGACATGGGAAGAGGCGAACGGGCCTTCTCAGACTATCCGCCCGCGTGTTCCGTCCGATTGCGTTGTCCCACCTTCTTTTCATTTAAACGTTGTTGTGTAGATGAGCGTGCCCGCGTACAGTGGCTGCTCAGCGCACCCACTTCGGCAGCTTCTTGTACGGGTTTGCAGGCCGCTTTTCCCTGAGCTTCTTGCCGCTGGCCTCCGCCTTGGCGCGGCGCGCCTCCAGCTTGCTGTTGACAAGGCCACTGCCGTCCGCCTTCGTGGCGATGCGGCCGTCGGCAATCTGCTGCGCCTTCGCCTCAAGCATCTTCTCGCGCCGCTGGCTGCCCTGCACGACGCCGTTGACCATCTTGTAGTAGCGCGCGGCCTTCTTGCGGGCTACTTGGAGCTGCATCTTGCGCGTAGCTGTCTCCTGTCGCTTCGCCTCAGTCATTTTACGCTTCAGCCGGTGCTCGTCCGACTCCTGCTGCCGGCGTGCGTCGCGCGACTTCTGCTGCGCCAGACGCCGGCGCGCGACCACCTCATCGGTAGGCGCGTTCATTAAGTTCATCTTGCGCTGCTTCATCACCTTGAGCGCCGACAGCTTGCTGCGCTGCACGTTCTCCGTCACCTCCTCCTCTTCCCACTGCGGGCGGCGACGGGCCTCCGTGAGCTCGTCGCCGGAGAGCGACACGTCGTCGTCGGCGTCCATCTCCGGCACCGCGGCGTGCTCCTCGTCACTCTCGTCGCGCAGCATCAACTCAGCCGCCTTTCCTTCCGGATCAACTGGCGTGTACTGTGGATTCACCAGGGTGCGTATCTCATGCACCCGTTGCGGCACGTACGAGACTATCTTGGGATGGTGCTTCTTCGCCTCTTCCACCGCGGCGATATCCTCCGCGCTGTTCGTGATGGCCACCGTGAAGGGCGACACGTGCGGTGGCAGTTCCTCACCGATGCGGTAGCCGTTGGGAGGCAGCAGCGTGCGGGCGTTGAGGCAGTCGAACAGGTACTGCGGCTGCACGTACTCAATGCGCTCAACGCGCTCGAAACCTGGTGGCAGCGCAGGACGGTCAACTACGAAGTGCGTAATGTTGTCTGCGGCGTAGGCTGTTGCGACGCGTCCGCCACACGCCTCAATAACGAGGGCCGCATGTTTCTGTGGCACCTCACGCGAGATGTAGAACGTCAGCCCATCGAAGACGCGGCGCACCTTCCGAAGCTCCTCTTCCATAAGTTCTGTCCTGTTGCGTGCCTCCTTCGTTGCGCTGCTGAGGTCCCGTGCCGCATCCACGTCGGTGGTGTGGAAATCTTCCGCATTCACATTAATCCCGTCCTCTTCAGCATTCTGCTGCTCTGCCAAGTCTCGCTCGAGGTCATGCTCGAGCTTGAAGAGTACGAAACGCATGAGCTCAATGTAAAACTCCAGGAAACTGAGTGTGATGTACTGCTGAATCCCCGGCGGGAACTTGTGCGCATACTCGTGTGGGCACAGCCAGCGCACCCGTTCACCGCGCACAATCGCCTCAAAATAGTAGCCCTTGATCGAGATGAAGCCCTTCGACAGCGCGCGGGCGCGCACGACGTAACGGTTCCAGCGCTCGCTGGTCTCCCGCGCGCGCTGGTGGAGGCCGGAGGTGAGTGCGTGGTGCGTCTCAATGGTGCTTTCGCTCATCACCTCCGGGCTGAGGAAGGCGTAGAGGGCAATCATCGACATGGCGTCGTCGATGTCTCGCACCGCGTCGGCGAAGAAGGGGTAGCGCTCCTTGATGGTCGCGACGAGGCTGTAGCGCGGCTTCACTTTGGCGCTCTGCAGCGTCTTGAGGTCTTCGTCAAGCCCCATCGCCTCGGCGCGGCGCACTTTCTTCTCCCACGCGCGGTGGGCCATCATGCGCTCGGCGATGTGGTCGCGTACGAGCCACTTGATCTCCCGCGCAAGGTAGTACTGCTTGTCGTTGCCGCTCTGCTTCTGCTTGCTTCGGGCGAGGGCGCGGGGATAGATGCCCTTGAGGATGCACAGGCGGCGAAACTGGATCGAGTCGACCTGCAGCAGCCGCGTCGCCTGCATGCGCGTCACATACTTCTTCTTGAAGCGCTCCTTCTTGACGCGCTTTGCCCACGCCTGCTTGCGGTGCATTTCCCTCTCGCTTTTCCTGCTGCTCTCGTGGCTCGGGGGAACCAAGCAAAATAAAGAAAAAATTGGAACAAAGGTCAAAGATGAGAATAAAGAGCAGCTGGGAAAGAAACGAGGTAGACATTTTTTGTTTTTTAAAAAAACTGTCAGACGCGACGAATGTGAAATGCGCATTGAGACACTCGTGCGCTGGTTGAACGTGTATGTTTGCTTTCTCCTCTGTGATGTCCTCTCCAGCATTCCTTCCTTTCAAGAAGGCTACGCTGTGGCGCCGTCAAGGGTCTTGCTCTCCTCCTCCTCCTCCTCCTCCTCCTCCTTCTCCTCCCCCCCTTCCTCACTTCCATTCTCCCCCTTCTGCTCCTCCTGCTGCTGTTGAGCCTCGCGCATGCATTGATTGGCGCTGCTCTCCGCGTCACGCGTCTTCTCCATTCGCCACTGCGCCCGCTGCAGCTCCTCAAGCGCGGCGTTCTCGATACGCATGCGGCGCTCGTGCTCGCAGCCGGGGTATACGCCGTCCTCAAACTTGCGGTCGAGTAGCTGTGCATCCTCGACGTCGTCTGTCACAAATGTGTAGGGTGGAATAAAGGTGGTGTAGAGGTACGTACTGCGAGCCTCCAGCGACGGGTAGTCGTCGGACCAGTCGCTCATCGTGCTGAACCCTTCCAGCGGCACGACGTGATTCGTGTCGGGGATGCGGCGGGTGAAGAGCACGCCACCGAGGTGGTCGAGCTCGTGTAGCGCCATGCGTGCGCGCATCTTGTCGAGCGTCACCTCGAACGGCCGTCCGTCCTCCCCGATCGCCCGCACTCGCACCGTTGTTGGGCGTTCAATGTAGTGCATGAGGAAGCAGCAGCTCGCGCAGGGTTCCCACGCGAAGCATGTCTTTCGTTCACCGCGGAGCCGCGCCATCCACCGTGTCTCTGCGTCCAGGAGGGAGATGCCGTCGCGCTTCGCCTCTGTCTCCAGCTCCAGCGCGTCCACGTTGACAGGGTTGATAAAAACGGTACCGTCGAACAGAGTGAACATGCGTACATTCCAGCCAATCTGCGGAGCGCAGAGGGATGGGTACTGGTAGTGGCGCCGCGCCGCCTGCACCCGCTCAATCATGTCCGCAAAGTCGCCACGGCCGATGTGTGCAGGGTCCAGTGGGTACTGCTTGCACCACAGCGAGCGGGCGGGGAGTTGTACGATCGGGTGCTCAACGTGCACGCCGTTTCCCGCCACATACGCTTCGTCACTGGCGCTGCCATGCCCATGTGCCGTCGTCGAGGAGCTCAGTCGCGTGGAGCAGCCCAGCGCCGCCAGCACGNGTCACTGGCGCTGCCATGCCCATGTGCCGTCGTCGAGGAGCTCAGTCGCGTGGAGCAGCCCAGCGCCGCCAGCACGGAGTGGCAGCAGGTGGTGCTGTTGCTGTTCCGCTGACGAACAAGACCCAGCCTTCGGCCACCCCTGTGGGCGGCAGGGTAGTGGAGGCACGCACGAGCCCACATCCCGCAGACTACTGCTCCCTAAAAGAGTAGCGCACGCAGCCTAAGAAAAACCTTAGGCGCTCAACAAAAGAAGAAACAAATGAATAAAAAAAGGGAAGTAAACAAGCATTACCGATGGGCCCAAGCATCACATTCGTCTGTCTCTTAGATCTGCTTTTTCTCCTTATTGTTGAAGGCGTTGGTTTTCTTTTTTTTTTCATTTTAAACACACACACACACACACACACACACCCATATATATATATATATATGTATGCATGTCACGAGCTGGAAGACAATACCAACACGCTGCAGTACACTTTGAGTCAGTACAATGTGGTACAAATCTCTCCTCCCTCTCCTCTCCTCTCGTTGTCCGCTTAAAAGCGGGAGAGAGAAGACGTGGACGTCTGAGATGTAAACAGAGGATACAAAAAAGTCGCGGCAATAATAAAACTACTAACCACGGCGGGGTAGGCCATGAAGACAAACCCCCACACACACCTGCGCACAGATGCAAGAAAAAAAAAACACAGGTAGGCAACGAGACATGATAAGCGCATAAGGGAGCCATTTCCCTTTACTTTATTCTCTCACATTCTCTTTTTTTTTTTCTCTTTCCATTTCGCTTCCTTGGGGGGTGACAGCACAAGTTGCTGCACCAGGAACAGAAAGGGGATGCTCCCTCTACATTTATACACACCTTGGCATGCATCGCAAATTTGCGACCACACCACACACACACACACACACACACACCAATGTGTGGCTACTGCCAAGTTAAAATGTTGCGCATCTGTGAAGACTGCAACTGTGTTTTCCTCGGAGACCGCTGCGGTGACTCGAGCACTTGTCCCCCGCCAAATATGACGTTAGAGGCTGTTATTGAGTAACCTGGCACGCGGGCACGACCCGTCGTCCGCTGCCGCGGTGACACCAGCGGTGTGATGTTGTATTGCTCCTGATCCAAGACCATCGACGTCGTACCTTCTGCCGTCACCCCAGCAGTGCTTGCGTACGGATCCGCCGCGGCGCTCATGCGCTGGCTCTCCCTACCGCTGCCGCATCGATAAGGTGATCGCCGACCATCCCACTTGTTCGGTGCAATGGGACGAGTGAAAACGGGAGCGGCACCGTTTGTCCTGCTGGTGAGGGAGCTGCTGCGACGGCTGAGGTGATGGCGTGTCGGTGTGCCTTTGTTACGAGGCACCTCCTCCTCCCCCCCACCAAAGGGCTCGGTGCTGCGCTGCGCCGCGTCACCGTTGCGTCTCACTTCAACGCGGAGATTCGTCCCTTGTTTCGGAAATCCGTTCTTTTGCGGCATCTCATCGCCATGCTCAGAGCCGTACGGGTCGTTGGAGTGCGCAGATGCGGAACGAGGCCGCTGCCCCATGTTCTCTCGGCGCCTCCGCACGCCAAAGATATCACTGTCTGACGCGGCCGAGTGACTTCGCATCGCGTCCGTCACTCGGGACGTTTGCTTCCGCGGGGGCAACGTCAGTTTGGGCTGCGCCGCCTCGAACGCCTCTACCGCCTTAATGGTGCGAACCCCGCGGCGGGAAAACATGTCTTCGCTGAGTGGATCCCGCGCGAGGAAGTCGGGTCCAAGTTTGTCCGCTGGGTGAGTCGGCACCTGCCGCATACCAGTCCGCGGCTGCGGTGGTGGTGAGACACTGTTGTCCGCATAGCCGCCGAAGAGGCGGAGCGTTGTGGCGCTGGCGCTGCAACTGCGGGGGGTGCGGCGCCTCACCGGCGAGCAGTTGCGCGCCTCGGAGCCAAGAACAAACCGTGCCAGAGAGCCAAGTCCGTCACTGTTTCTTTTTACGGGCGTTGCTGCTGCTGGTTGGGTTGGCGCAGGGGCCGTGTCGAAGATGTGACTCCGATTCATCTGCCTCATTGCATGAGAGATACGCTTCGTTACGGGGACCAACTCGGGGTCCACACGGTGCTGTGTCTCGTACAGGAATCGGAGGTCATCCTTCCGTGAGAGATCCAGTCGGTATACATCCGGGCGAATGTCCGAGAGACGCGTATTCTTCATTAGCAGCGCGAGCAGTTCCTCTCGGGAGAGCGGCTTCGCGTGAGCACTCGAGCAACGACTCCCAAGATTAAAGTAGCTGTGCCGTCCACTGGAGCCCCGACGGGGTGTGCCGTTCTGGCCCTCATGATTAGACGTCTTTGTGAAAGCAGTGGAATTATTGCTTCCCGAACGTCGAACTCCTGTTGCTCTTTCTCCTCCACCGCCGATAGTGCTACCTCTGTCGCTAGAATCCCGCCGATGCGAAGCAGCAGCGGAGGATGCAACTCGATCTCGCTGGCCCCTGTCAGTGTTGCTAAATCTCGCACTTCTCTGTGACACACGGTCGGCAGAGACAGCTCTCGCGCTGCGTGTCTGATAGCTGTCTCTTGACGACGTGCGCGAGNTCTCTGTGACACACGGTCGGCAGAGACAGCTCTCGCGCTGCGTGTCTGATAGCTGTCTCTTGACGACGTGCGCGAGCGTGGACGGGCGGAGCCCCGGGCACTGTCTGCCGACTGTTTTTGAGAGCCTCCCAGTATCATTGAATCCTCCTTTGTTTAATCCCTCAAAGCCAGTGGAATGACGCCGTACCTTGAAACCATATAAAAAGCATGGGAATGTGAGGAAGGAAGTGAGTGACGGAAAGGAATGAAAGAGAAAGAATTCTTTACTTTTTTTTTGTGTGTGTGCAACATTCTACAAGCGGGGCGTGAACAGACAAGCCAGTGCGCGATTTAGCCAGCCAACGAATAACACACTCCCAAATATATATATA